AAAGTAGATCAAATGTAAAACTTAGCATATCAAGTCATACTGAAGCACTTGCATTTTATTCTACTATAACTTTCTGATCTGTTATGTTTTATAAGCAGTCCTGAGCCTTGCTGCAGTATTATGTTGGGGAGTTGCACTACACTCAGGTTTCATGTTTTGCTGTTGTACACAGACCAAACCTATTTCAGCTTTAATTAAATGACAGCAGTCTGTCTGTGACATATCCTGGAATTGTGATGGATAATGCTCAGACTACTCTTAATCAGTGCTACCCTTCTATTTTTATGCATTAATTCTGATTGCAATTACAGAACTTGACAGTGAGACAGAAAAGCACAGTGGTGCAGTGGATAGCAGCGCCACTGCACAGCATGCAGGTTCTGGGCCCTGTCTACTGTGGATTGTGGTATTGTCTGTCCTGATGCCTCAGCTCTGCGATGGCCTTTATCCTGGTTGTCACCGGGACTGACACCAGTCCTGCAACAACCCTCAAGGATAAGTGAGTATAGCTGATGGATGCATGGATTTCTTAAGATCAAGGCTGAAAGAAGTTGTTGGAGAGCTTTGAAAAAAATTAATTTCTGTTAATTTCTGTGAAAACTCCATCTGCTGCAGAGGCTCATATGATATAATGAAGAGCTCCAGAACAGCTACTAAATGAACTGTGAAGAAAGGCTGTTTTCTCAAATGTGCATATGTGTTAAAAAACAACAACAAACAGATCATATATTTGAATTTTTAGTCTTGAGCTCAGCCACCCTGGAGTAATGGTGTGTAGTGGAGGGTTAACTGTGGGTTTTGCATCTAACAGTGAGTTCACAAATCTCTGAGTGATGTCTCCTCTGTATTTATTATCATGTCAGCAGTGTTTTTGTCTCTGTGCGGGAGGAAGCTTTTTGATGGCACGTTCACTATTTGCAGATGAAAATTAACCAGCAGTCTTTTCCCCACAAACCATGAAGAGATATCAGTGATAGATTCATTGAAGTGAAGTCAATGAATAAACCAACAGGAAGAGGACATGTTCGTTTAATCGCTGATTGATCAAACTGCTTCATCAGAAACTCTTCAGTCTGTTTCTAAACATTCTACGGTACTGTATGCTGTCTCTACACTTTAGGGGATATTACGTACACGTAGGGTACATCCCAATTCCCTTAACTGTGTCCATGTTGCCCTCACTTGCGTCTTGTTCTCGTTTCTTAGTCTCACCAACATGAGAGGAAAGGAAGTGAGGAAAGAGGAGTTGTAGAAACATTAGATGCCCTTTCCTCTGATTCTTCATCTGAAGTGTCCAATTACAAACTCATTTCTGATGAAGGTGTCTGTTGGTCCTTAAAAAAGTCTTTTGTATCCTTGCTCATGGATCCTCCAGGCAAGCTTACTCCTCAGAACAGGAATATGAGATTTGGGACGTCCTTAAAGATGGTGGACCAGAAAGAGAACGTGTTTTTGACATGCGTCTTACTCGTGTCTTGCTGTAGATACAGTACAAATGTGTCAGTTCACACTGACTTCAACACACCTGCAAAGGATGCACCCCCCACATTTTGTAACACTTTTTTATTCCCCTTTTGTGCTGTTTAAATCACACAGCCCCAGTTATTTTGTGGTGCACTTTAGTGGTATCTGTTATGTTCCTGATGTAGCTCTGAGGTTTTAATTTCATTTTGCCCCTGTCCTCTGTAACGAGCCTGGGAAAATCAATGAAATCAATACATCTATATATAAAACCCACTGGTAATTTCTTCCTGATAAGCCTACTTGAGAACTATGTTTGTCCAGTGCTGTCAATTGGCCCATTGAAGCCTGTTTGTCAAGCCACAACAAGAGTACTATGGGGACACAGTAATTTTGAAGTGGCCCCTATGCAAAAGTACACTAAGGATGAAAATGTATAAAAGAGGAAACGTGCATTTAAGTTTTAGCTCATTTAAGTTATTTCATCATGAGTGAATCCATCACTCTCAGAAACACATTAACCATTTTGTGGCTCTATCAGAAACCCGTAGTGAAGCTGGCCTCTTTCAAATGTCATTTCTGCTGCTTGTTTTGTCAGAAGCCTGTTGTTAAAGTGGAAGTTAGTGACTGAAGCAGATCGTTGGAGAGATGGATGACTTTCATACTGATTGGACCTGATTGATCGCCTGATTGGATCACTGTGTTACCATTAAGAACTCGTGTTTTTCTCTAAGGAGCTGCATTATGCTCAGCTGTCTCCTCTGTTTTTCATACAAACCAATCCGTTAGCAACAAATGAAAAATGTGGCCTAGAAGATTTTTTTCTCATGTCAGTGTAAACCTAAAGCTAACCAAGTAGTGTTTGCTCCTAAACCTAACTGAGTAGACTGTAGGGTGTTACCCAGCTGTGAATAAACCAGTCACCGTTATGATTAGATTTAACCTCATCCTGACATGTGACCGTGTGCATCATGACAAACTATCACTGAACTCACAGCTGTGCGTGAGGCAATGGGTGAATGCTGCTGCCCTTTTGTTTTCACTGCCCTTTTCATACTGAAGCACAAAGACAGAGTTTATAAACACTGCGCCACAATCATCTCCAAAGGACGCATGAAGGGAGCGACTCAGAGACCTTCCGGCGTTATGATGTGCATTTTCCCCCTGCCAGAAACCTGGCAACATCTTTAAAGGTTAACATGCACAGGAAAGACTGGAAACTGTTCAAACCTGTAATGTTGTTGCATCTACTTTGCTATTCTAATTTTGTGCATCATTAGCTGTAGGATGACACTAATGTTGGACAAAATTGTGTTCAAAATGATCCACAAAGGTGTAATTATCAGAGAGGGAAGGTCAGGAAATCTTAGAGGTTTGCACACCCCCAAAAAACACTGTTGAATCATGATGTAATCTTGTGTGTAGGTAGGTGTGTGTGGGGGGGATTCATTCCAAAATCTTGTGTGGGCCTGTTGATTTGAGCACAGACCTGAGATTCACCTGGTGAAATGGTGGGAAAAAAATCAATAATTCACTTGCTCTCAAACGGAACATCAATACTTAATATCTGAGCTGACTCTTAACTTCAACACTAACTTTCATGGCAGCAGTCATTGTTTCAGAGACAGTGTCTCTTTCTGTTTTCTATGTAGAGTAGATATCTAATTTTGGAGCTTGGCTGTTCAATACAAACTGATTCGTTGCTTTATTGTATTGACTGAGATGACATTTCCTTACTTGTGCTACTAGACGTTTCCTGTTTGGCATTAGAAACATCACAGTGCATTAGGTTTCTGATGTGCAGCAGACAGATCAAATACCATCACGTTGCACTTGAAGTTAAATTCACCATCGCTGTTGCTCAGATGTGCCAAAGAAAGTGATGCGTGATTAGGACTGCATTAGAAATGTTAGACAGGCTGTTTTTGCCAAAGCTTATAAGAAACACAATCTGCCAGCCTGAGACTAAATAAATGAGCCCACCGTGGAGAGAATGACAGCAGGGCATGCTGAAATTGGAACTCAGCTGATTTGATCAAAATGCTATGGGCCAGAGCGGGCAGCACGGACAGCTGAACTTCCCAGGCCTTGAACCTCACTTTGCACATGGATGTGGTGCAGTGTGCACCTTGTACACGTGGGAGGAAAGTGCTGGAGGTAAAAAATTACAATACTACACTGTAAAAAATACTTTACTGCAAGAGAAAGTCCTGTGTTCATGATATTACTTCAGTAGATATATAGTATTTTCAGCCAAAGTAAAAGTACTCATTGACAATATGGCACCAATTAAATTAGTGGAGGAGTTTTACTGATATCTTAAAGTGTCGAATTGTTAAGGTGGATCAAGCTGAACAGTTTTATGTTGTTGAGAGGTTTGAGCTAAAAAAAAAATCCCATTTTATAAACCAATCAAATGTTTGATGTGTAAAATCTTAAGTAAAGGATTTTTTAATGAAATGCAAGGTTTGATTACTAGTCAGGCAAAGCACTGTCCAAGGGCCACAAATGCACCAGTTAATATACTTTATTTTGTTCTGTACATTTGCATATTTTAAATACAATATCAACCATAACATGGGCCTTCAGTACTTACTTTTGGGTGCTGGTCTTATGTCAAAGAATAGTTTTAGGACCTTTAGTTATTGCTGGATTATATCCTGTTCATTTAGTCCCAAAGTCGAGTTTTAACAAATTGCTTTAAAAGAAATGAACTCATAGAAAACCTGGGGCAAGACAGTTTCATTCCAGCACAGGAGTGTTGGCTGATTTCATGTGATGCAATAGAGCTGTCGTGAACAGCGAACCAGTCGGGGACCACATAACTTTTCACCTTGAGCATCATATAGCAGGTTAATCCACTCGTACTGAAATGAAGCAGAAGTGTCACATAGAAATATCTTAAGCTGAACATATAAACCATATGAATGTGCTACATACAGAGGAGGGAAATTTCCATGTGGGTTTTCCTGCAATAGTTTTTGGCATTTACATTTAAATAACTTTTATGAGAGGAATATGATTCTGTAACCAGATAGAGAAATTGCTAAAGAATGAATGTATTTGGTTGATACAATCTGTTGCTGGTGCCAAAACGATGGCAGGACAAGTCAATTAGCCATTTGGCTCCCATAATCAATCAGAGAGGACTGAGCTGTCCTTATTTTTGGATGTCAAGAAAGGAAGCAACAGTTAATTCAGTGTTTAGGTTGTGACATAAACGTATACAGACACTTTTTGATTAACTGTAAGAAAGTGATAGGTTTTGTGCAGCTGAGTGTGTGTCGTTGGCTTCGAGGGTTTGTTTGAGGGTTAAGACTTGGTTTAAGGGTCAGGTTAGAATTAACTAATCTTAGGAATAGGGTTGGGGTTAGCTGTGATGGTTAAGTGTTGGGATGAGGGGGCTAGGGAATGCATTATGTCAGTGAATGCACTCAGAGATAGCTGTACAAATGTGTGTGTGTGTGTCTCAGGCAGCAGCTGCTCCCTCCCTGACTTTGCTCCACTCTCACATTCAGTCCTGCAGTGGTGGATGGGCTCAGTGCTCCCACCGACAGGAGCGCAGACATCCGATAGCCTGTTGGTGTCAATGAATTGGAAACACAAAGAGCAACAACAAATCCTCCTGTAGCTTGGTGATGGATTATAAGTCGTGTAGACCAGAATCAACTTTGCCACTGCCTCCGTGTTTCTTTTTTTGGTGCACATTTAGTCAGCTCCTGACTGCCTCCTTAACATCTCCAGGCTTTCAGCATCCAACAGGATCCACACACGGTCAGTAAACAGTTTCTGAACATTGACTGGATTTGTTTCTCTGAAGATGAGCTCACAAGTTGTTTTTTTCTTTTTATACAAGCATCTTTGCTTTTTTATCCAGTAAAAATTAAATCAAGGATGTTTTTTCAAGGGAAAATTGACTTTATTTAATTAACGTTTGACTTCTGCCCTTTTTTAATGGCAATAATTTGATGGTAGTGATGGTGTAACTGTCTTTGTTTAAAAATAGAACAAAAATCTGCAAAATGAGAAGTAAACATCTGCGGTTACAGCCTGCTTTTTACACTTAATGAATAAAGCCAGTCAGGTCTGCCTTCCTAATAAATTATAGTAAATATCAAATAATTTCCAGAGCAGAAACCTTTGTTACTGAGTGTTTGTCCAAAATACACCATAAGGTTAAAGCTTTTCAGGGTTTTTCCATCTAGGATTGTGTTATTTGCAGGTGCTTGATCTGCTATAGAGCTGAATAGCTGCAGGCAGAAACAGCCTTTGATATTTCTGTGGTTTCTCTAAACAGATTTGAGTGCATCCTTGTGGTGGACTAAATGTGTGAGCAGGCAGAGAGAGTGAGAAGGGTGGAGGTCATCATGAGGTTTACCTTCCCTGAAGGTGAGAAATTCAACAGCTAGTGGAGGATTATCAGGTTCAGACAGCCTCTCCCTGGAGGAATGAACGTACACACGTTACGTAAGAACTGCTCTGGGGCCAGTGCTGGACTGCATCATGACTCCAGCTGACTCAAAAGATGAGGCACCATGATTTACACTTTTGTACCCATATGAACCACAGAACACAAGACTGGGATGCAGAACCTGATGAGACGTTTTTGGTAAGGAGTTCACACCATTTTGGATTCTGATTTTTGGTGTTTTGCTTTTTATCTGTGTCTGTGAATGGATTTTAATGAGGATCAAGGGAAAGCTGTACGATAATCCGTGCAGTTGAGATATTTTCATACTGCTCTGCTGCCTCTGCGGGAGGCAGAATGGGCCTGTCATGGGACGGGAGCTCAGTCCAGCCCAGCTTCTCTCTGTTGCTGCAGTATGACGGCCGTGAGGAAAGACTGAACCACACATACAACTTGCACAGCTCTGTAATGCTGCCCTCGGCCTTCGCTTCCCCCACTTACCTCCATGATCCTCTGCCCTCTCTGATGCCCTCCTCTCTTGTTCCATACTCTTCCCTAACTCCCTCCCCGCTGCTCTCCACCACCTCCTCCTTATCATTTCGACAAACCTCCACTTTTGTTTCCTCTTCGTTTCCTTTATCCCTGTCCACCTTTTCTTCCAATGACTTGCCAGATCTGGAGAGCATGCTGCTCTGGACCCTCCATGAGCCCAGCACCATTGCTCTTATCATCATGTACTGCTTTTCTTTCCTTTTGGGATTCACTGGGAATTTAATGTCCCTGCGTGTCCTCACCAACAGGCACAGCCGCCGCCTGGCCAGCGTTAGCACCACACGCAGCCTCCTGGTGAACTTAGCGGTGTGTGACCTGGCTGTGGTGTGCATATGCATGCCCATCACTCTGGGAAGCCAAATCTACACGGCCTGGGTCTACGGTGACCTCCTCTGTCGAGCAGTGCCCTTCACACAGGCCATGTCAGTCTCAGCCAGTGTGTTGACACTGACGGTTATCAGTGTGAACCGGTACTACAGTGTTAGATCACCACTACGAGCTCGCTTCATGTTTACACGGCGCCGGATCTTGGCAACTCTTGCCATGGTGTGGACTGTGTCCTTGATTATGTGTGCGCCTATTGCTGTGATGAACCGGCGGCAGGAAATCAGCTTTGGGACTTTCACCATCTTGATCTGTCAGGAGGAGTGGCCTCAGCATCGCCTGAAACAGGGGTAGGTGCTTTGACAGATGTGTGATAGTACCTAGTCGGTGTTACAGGATTTAGACTCAGCAGATTAAGACTCAGTGATCATCAGCTCTGGAAATGAGGGTCCTGACGACTGACTGTATAAATATGAATGATGCATCACCACTTCCCTCCACCATGCCAAGGTTAAGCCAAAATATCATAAGTACTATGGCTGCCATCTTGGCATTTTGCAACTAGATTCTGCGCAGTAGTAACCGACTAGTTGAGTGATTTATCAGGCCACTAATCAAAGGTGTCAAATCATCTGAAATAACCCCCCTTTTAAATCATCAAATAACTTCTTAAAAGCAATCTTACCAGAAAAAAGACCATTTGTACTCACATCAGCATGATAAAATTTACCAAAAACCACAGAGAAAAATCTGTTTTGCATTTTGAGTTTTTATTTTGGATCACGTCCCCATCCACTAACATGGAGGAGGCAGGGTTTGTGACTTATACTGCAACCAGCCACCAGGGGGCGGCTTCACTTCTGGGAGCTGTAATGGCGTCCATATTTTATTAAGGATGATGGTCCTAGCACACTAAGCTAAGAGTCGAGCTTGAGCACTTGCCACTGGGCTGTGGTTTAGTAAGAACAAACATCTCGCGCAATTTCTGTGCTGTTTAACTGTGTATGTAGAAATTTGCTGTGACTGACCAGCTGAGCATGTTGAACTCAGTGACGTGCGGTGAGGTTGACAGCTGGTGAGGCACTGACTCTTTTACAGTCAGATTTACAAATACAAATTGTGTGTTAACAGACAATGCGTTATGTTTTATATCTCATATCATCATTCTTCACACAAACGTGATCCATTTTTAATTTGAGGTTAAAATTTATTCCAGTTGAGCTTATTTCTAACTAGAAATAATAAAAGTTTATGGTCTTACCTTTACTTGTACACGAAATCCATTTGTCAGCTGGTATGTATTACAAACCCTTTTACCGTTCGAATCCAATATTAAAACAAATGTTCTCAATAAAGAAGATCCTTCTGGACAAAAGTGTCCAGACTGTCAAAAATGTTTTGATTGAAAGTCCAGATTTG